CCTCCAATTTGTCACATTCCTCAAAACCCTTTAACATATTCATCTGAACCTTTTCCTTCCAGTAGGGGCATCTTCGGGTGGCACGGTGGCTCAGTGGTTAGGGCTGCTGCTTCACAGCACCTGGGATGTAGGTTCAATTCCACCCTCAGGCGACTGTCTGTGTGGAGTTTGCATATTCTCCCTGTATCTGCGTGGGTTTCCTCCAGGTGGTCCGGTTTCTACCCACAGTCCAAAGATGTGTGGGCTCGGTGAACTGACCATGTTAAATTGCCCATAGTGTTGAGGGATGTGTAGATTAGGGGGATGGGTCTGGATGGGATGCTCTGAGGGTCAGTGTGGACTTGTTAGGCTGGAGGACTTGTTTCCACACTGTAGGAAGGTTTTTAAAGTGAATGTTTCTCTCCCTGACCATGATTAAGAGCTCTGTAGTGTCAATGATGCCAGCGTTATGTCATTTGGAACCAATGTATTTGTGCACCTTGCGCTGTCATTCTCTTCTCAGTGTATGGTGATCCATGTTGGACAGGGCGTTTGAGCAGCTTTGACACACATTTTTGGAATTTATTCAAAAACACAAATTGCTGACGAAACGAAGCAGGTCTGGCAGCATCTGTAGAGTGAAAGCAAAGTTAAGCTGTTGGATCCAGTGATGCCTTTTCAAAGCTCCCAGTTTCTCCAGCAATTTTCCTTCTTGTTTCAGATTTCCAGCATCCACGGTTCTTTGTTTTGTTGAAAATTCAGTTAGTGCCGATTCATTTCTGGAGAAACTCAGCTGGTCTAGACGCATCTGTGGAGACAGAGAAACAGAGTTAAGGTTTCAAGTCCAGCGAGACCCTTCTTCAGGTTGGAAAATGGACTTTTTAATACCTTGACAGAGGTGGAGGAGGGGTGACAGAAAAAAGAGGGTGCGGGCATGCAGTGCAAAATACAAATGGGCTTTTAATTGTGGTGAAAGAGAAACAGATGTACAATGGGAATATGGGGAGATGGGTTCTCTCCATTGAGTGCAATGTAAACAAGATACAAACAAGACAAGGTCACATCTTCTGCATCATATCGTGTTAACCATGTCTCCATTAATAACTCTGAATGTCTTGCGCATATATGAACAATCTTATCTATCTGCACACACACACTGATTAAACAGTGTATATAAAATCATTTCTCCTCCATTCCATTTCAAACTATCACGTTTTGTTTACATTGTCACTCACCATTCCTTCAGCCAAATTTATACTGTTTCTTTGTCTGCATTTTGTTTCATTCCGTCTATGAAGAAGATATTGGCTACTGGGCGATATGACTTTATTCCTGTCCAGTCTGCACAGCCACTGTCTCCTCTTCCTTACTGTTTCTTAATCAATCACATAGATATTGTCTCTGACCCTTTACTCCCAATAAGCAAAGCAATTGGAAATGTAATGTTTACTTTCGGGCTAAGGCCAAAAAATCGGTAAAGAAAAGCTGTATAAACTGCAAAAAAAAAGTTTGCAACTTTAGAAGCAAATTATTGAAAGTATTGTGTTAAAGATAAAATGTTGCCTTATTAGAGCAGTGACAGGAAAGTTCAGCGAAATCCACATTTCCTGTCTTTCTCCAGGCAGTTGTGGCCAGAGACAGTTTTTAGATTGGCAGTTGTTGTGGTGGAGGAGACTTCAGTGCAGTGACAAACTCTCGATTGGCTCTTAGGAAAACGGTTACATATGGCATCGCATGTGGATAACACAGCAGAATCATCAAGCCTGTGCAGAGAAAGCATCACCTTTCTCCTTTACTTCTATCATTGTTAGAGTAATTGGAGATGGGCACTAAGACCAACAGCAGGCGATGTCAGCATCCCACCCAGACCAGGTATTGTTGTTACATTAAAAGTGTCAGAGTGAAAGGGGTTAACTGGAGCTGTTTGTTCCGTGACTCGAATTAATGTCAGTCTCCATGGATACTAACTTTGTCACTGGAGGGTTTCCCTCTTCTATTAATAAGGAGTTTCTTCCAATGCGTTATCCCATAGTATCAGTGGCTGTGTCATCCTCAACACGATTATAATCAACAGCTCCAGAGAGAGGGAGAGATCAGAATCTGTGAACAGCAGATTGGGATGTTCCAATTATGGAGCAGAATCCGAATCTGAGAGTAATAGATTGGAATGTTCCAACAATGGACAGGGGTTTATCCTATGGCCTTCACTGGCTTTCTGTCGATTGGGTATCGTTAACATTGCGGATAGAAGCTGTACTGGTGGTTATTCAGGCGGGTTACTATCCCATCCTCGCTATTGTTGGTGTTCCTGGTAAGTCTCTCTATCTCTGTCCATTCAATTATTCTGTAAAACTTTGTGAACAGCATCTCAATTTCTATGATCTATATTTGGCAAAGATGTAAACTATTGTATTCACTTTCAATTACAAAGTCAATTCTTATTCCATGGCTTTTTTCACCTTCACTTCCAAACACCCGAGGAACAAAAGTGTTCATAACCACCGTTGGCCCATTTTGTCCTGAGTTGATTTATATCACAATATTCCCTTTATTACCAATAATATTCCCAGTTTTCACTTCTGCCTCAGTGCTGTTTCTGAATAAACTAATATATTCTCCTTTCCAGTTGCAGTTCTCTTCTGGCCACACTTGCAGTTACTAAAATTTTGATTGTATACTTATTCTTATCTCTACCTGGTCCTATACCAGTTGCAAACTGTAAAGCTAGTTTGATTCTAAAATGAGGTTGTCACAGCTTTGTGTCACTGATTTCAGCATAACCCATCGATGGCCATCAAATGACAGTTTCTTTGAACTGTTTAGATTCTAGAACTCTCCGAGCAGGAGTGGGTGCTATGTCCATCATCTCCTAAGTGCAGTGCTCCAATGTATTCACTTGGTGACAGAGGCCATCTCTCTTCACCTACCCCCCCACTGACCTGCTGCTGAATGGAATACATTACTCTGTCTCCACAGAAGAAGATACAGAAAATCTTCCAGAAATTCTGCAGGACAGTGACTGCAAAAATGAGAAACTGTGGGAGATTAGAATTAATAAAGAGGAATTACTCAAAACTAATTGAACTGAAGTTTGATACGTAGCTCTGGTATGTCCCAGAGAATACATGGAGGTGGCAATAGAGCTCTTCAGTCTGACCAGTCCATGTTAAACATAATCCCAAACTATCCTAGTCCCACCTACCTGGGCTTGGCCCATATCCCTCCAACTGTTTCCTATTCATGTACTTATCCAAATGTCATTTAAAACTTGGAACTACAAGAAAGAATTATTGATACCATTCAAAATTCTTTAGATTCTGGAATTTCTGGTTCCTACACAATGGAAAGTAGCTGTTGTAACCCAAATAAAAACTGGAGTGGGAGAGAAAACAAAATAAAACTCAATTTTGGGCAACTTGATGTCTGTTATGAGGAAAATATTGGAATCTTTTATGAGGACTGTGAAAACTAGACACTTGGGGAATCATGACATGACTTTGCAGAATTAACTTAGATTCAGGAAAGGGAAGTCATCTTTGATAAACCTGTGGAGTTTGTGTTAATTAAATTTCAGTCCACAAATTTCAGGTGTGTGTCCAAATTATCCCCAGAAATGTCTTCCATTGCTGCTTCACCGTCTTCCCAACTAAGATTCTATTCCTATTAACTCTAGCCAGTTCCTCCCTCATGTCTTTGCAGTTTCATTACTCAATTATAATCGTGTCACATCCAAGTGTAAGCAATACATTTAAACTGAAAGAAGGAAGTTTGAGAGGTAAGACATGGAGAAAGATTGGAGTATTTATTAACTTGATATATGTATGTTTGACAGAGAGAGAAAGAGAAAGAGAATATGGATGATGAGATGTACAAATAGAGAAAAGTAGATTATCGACAGAAGTAGATGTACTTTCCAGTTTGTTTTGACAATTCCTGTGTGCTGTGGTCCTTTATCCAGTGCATGTACGACTGAGTAATATGCATATAATAGTTGAAGCATCCACACATGAGAACCAATGGGAGTGGTGTATTTGAATTGACAGAACACTTTTGATATGGTTGCACACAGGTGAGTGGGTAAAGCTGGAGGCCAGGGGTAAGGGGAAATATATTACATGGATTGAGAATTGTTTAGTTGAGACAACACAAACAGTTGAACCCTTTTCCAGACTGAACGCTATAACTTATGGGAGTGTTGGTAACTTGAAAGGCATACAACAATTTGGATGTGGCCAGCAATAGCATACATCTCATTTTGTAATGATTAAATGGTGCGAGTTTGGGAAGTGTTGTTGTCCAAAAGGACCTGCATGTCCTTGATCATAGGTTACCAGAATTAGTACAGACAGGGGTGTCAGTAATGAGGGAAGTAAATGGTATGTTGTCCTTCATTGTAAGATAATTCAAGTACATAAATAAGACCATATTTCTGCACTTGTAGAGCCTTGATGAGAGAGCATTTAGGGGCATTGTGTACAGATTTTATCTCTTTTGTAAGGAAAGATCTCCTTGCCAGAGACACGGTACAAACAAGTACCACCAGTCTAATCCCTGAGATGATGGTACCATGAGGAGAGAGTGAAGCAACTGAGTGTTTCATCTGTAGCGTTGTGAAAGAATAAGAGATAATTGCATTAAAATTTGAGATTTAGCAGTGAACACTTATGTCCAAGAAAGACATTGATAGGGCGAGAAATTCCATACGTTACCCATGTAAATACATGTGGATTTTACATGTAAAATGACCTAAAGCCCCATGTCGATTGCGAGAGAAGTGCTGGCTCTGAATGAACTCTCCCCAAATTAATGTGTGACCCTGCACTGAATGTCATGTTGTTCACAATCCCGACATGAGCCATAATACCTTACTTCTGAAACAGAAAGCCATTCCAACCACATTCTGATCTTCATAGAGAACACAAGTCTGTCTTCTCGGAGGATGCCACCTTGAGATTTTGCACAAAACATTAGGCTTCCCACCACACTGCTGTAAAATTGCATTAAAGTACCACATGTGTACCATGAGCAATGGACGCACGAGGAACTATGTGGAGCAGACTATCTGTGCAGCTTCTGCTCCATTTGCTTGTCATGTTGGAGCATCAGTTACCTCACTCTGTTTCCATGTAAGTGACTGTAGGGGCTGAATGTCCTCCTCCTGCTCATATGTCAGTGACTCAAGGGGATGTACAGCAGGGCCAAGTGCCTAATTGGGCTTCCCCGGGTTCCTGTGTAACAGCTCAATGTGCGAACTTGTGTGACAATGCTGTAACTGTATGAGGTTATTTTGTTCTGGATTCTTTTAAGAGAGAGATTGAACAAGAGGCACAAAGCTGTCTAGTTAATAAAACTTGAGTAAACAGCTTGAGAGGCTTTGGTTTTTTCACAACATCTGTCAACTATTTCACTAATGTAGCTCTGAATAAATGTAAACAGAAAGGCACCACAGACTTCTGGGGAAGAGAATTCCCATTCGAAATGCCCTTTTAGAATTTCTTCTCATCCATCTTATAGAATCAGAAACTCACACAGTGCAGAAACAGACCCTTTAGTCCAACTTGTCCACGCTGACCAGATATGTAATCTGATCTATTCCCATTTTCCAGTATTTGGCCTATATCCATCTAAACTCTTCCTATTCATTTACCAATCCAGGTACCCGTTAACTGTGTAAATGCACCCGTCTCCACCACTTCTGACTGCACTTTTTGTACGCACACCACTCTCTGCATGAAAATGTTGCCCCACGTTCCCTTCTATCTCTTTCCCTTCTCACCTTCAACATAGGCACTTTAGTTTTTGACTCCTGGGAAACAGATCTTGGCTATTCAGACTATTCATGCTCCTCATGATTTTATAAACCTCTGTAATGTCACCCCTCAGCCTCCAACACTCCAGGGGAAAAAGCTTCGAACTATTCAGCGTCTCCCAATAGCTCAAACCCTCCAATCAATGAGCATGCTTGTCAATCTTTTCTGCTCGTCTCAAGGTTAACAACATCCTTCCTTTAGCAGAGCCAACCGAAATGTGCGCAATATTCTTAATGTGGACTCACCAACGTCCTGTACAGGAGCTACATGCCGTCCCAACTCCTATACCCAATGCTCTGACTGATTAGGCCAAGTGTGACAAACGTGTTCTTCAGCATCCTGTCTACCTGCTACTCCACTTTCAAGGAACTAAGTGCCTGCACCCAAGGTCTCTTTATTCGGCAACACTCCCCAGGGCCCTAGCATTGATTGTGTAAGTCCTGCCCTGCTTCACTTTACCAAATGCAAAACCTCTCATTTATCTGAATTAAACTTCATCAGCCACACCTTGGCTCACTGACGCATCTGATCAATGTTCCATTGCACTCTGAAGTAATCTTCACCACTGTCCACTGCACCACTTTTTGATGTCATCTGTAAACTTACCAACCATGTCTCTGATATTCACATCCAAATCCTTTATATTAATGATGGAAAGCAGTGAACTCAGCACTGATACTTGCGGCACACCGCTGGCCACTGGTCTCCAGTCTGTAAAACAATCCTCTGCTTTCAAGCCAATTTTGAATTCAATTGGCTATCTCCCCCGGATCCCATGTGTCCTACTGTTAATAACCAGTCTACCATTCGGAACCTTACCAAACACCTTCCTAAAGTCCACGCAGACAACGTCTGCCACGTTAGTGAGACATGTTTTCCACCACACAAAGCCATGTTGACTATCTCTAATAAATGCTTGCCTTTCCAATTGCATGTAAATCCTATCCCTCAGAATCCCCTCCAACAATTTACCCAGCACTCATGTCAGGCTCAGT